GGTTTGGTAACATATGAAGCTTCAGCTTCACGCATTCTCCTTAAAATCTTATTTACTAAATCAGCTCAGCAACTTCAGCTTTTATGTTTTATCAAATAGCCCCTTAATTTTTGGTGGGAGCAACAATAGATAGATGGAGATATAAGAAAGCTTACAACAAGTGGATTGGTGTGATCTATGTTTTCAATGTGCGGCTGAGATGTACTGTAAAATTGGTGTGAGAGTGTCCCTCCGAAACCGAATTGAATATGGAAGCGTGGGATCTCATCTCATCCACCTAAGTACAGGCCTTCACTGATAAAACAGTTAACCTCATGATGTGCGACCCCTACCACAGGACTCTACGGCCGTGCATTGAGAATATCTCTTACACGGTGGTAGTGTTTCGTAGGAAATCAGAATTCTGCAACCCGTATTTTTTCGAAGAATTTATTGGCAAGACCAGGAGATTTAGAATGATGACGTGCACCCTGCTGATCTCAATGCTCAACTTCATCCGTAATACGAAGAATTTATTCTCTCACGTTCACGAAGCCAGATTTCCTACTCACTTTTTGTACCCATTTTATAATTGTACGCGAGTGCACGTTCACCACCCTTTTTGCTTCAACCTTGAGGAAATTGAAATTATGTCTGTAACAGCACTCTTTCTCCCTAGTCCCTACCCTCAAATTAAAAGTCAAAACCTCCGGTAGACTTTATCGGGTGGGCAAGCAAGACATGGAATTAATTATGGGTGAGTTCATGAGGAAACCTTCAAATATTCACACTGATCTGGTTGATCCTATTTAAAGAATGCTTAATCCATTTACTTGAGCAAGTGACAGATCTGGTAAACATTTTTGCTTCAATCTGTGGATGTTTCTCATCTGATGTCCTTTGTTATGATTAATAAATCATAAAATTTTGCTTAAAAGAAAAAAAAAAAGAAAACATATCACGATAATGGGAGATCGGCTTCTATCAGGGCAAAGCTGTGTCCATACCGTTCTAACAGCCATTTCCACCTTTGCAGCGATAAAGGATGTTCGAACCGGCTTTTCCCTAACTGAAGCAGAACCTCCACCAGTGGACAGTTCCGTCTCTCTTTTTGTTATGTGTAGAGCTGTCAATCTAATTAATAATTGGATCGAGACCTGCTATTGCTGTTCAGACCCTATTATATAATTAATAACATTTAAAGTTTTTTTTTTCATTTTTTTTGTTATTTTTGTTATATATTTTGTCTAAAAGGTAAATTTTATGAATAATATATAAGATAATTTTGATTTATATCGCTTGTTTTATCAACCTATAAACAGTTTACCATTTACTGTAGTTATATCATAGGTAATTATGGGTGAAAATGAAGTTCCAAGTTGTTATTATGATAGTTAATTATGGGTGACAAGTATAACCGGATTAATTGCTTTGGACCGGTTTATCCCAATTAATAATTAGTTTGGTTTTGGGTCTATTTTATGAACCGATTAAATAATCGGTTCAGTAGTTAGGGGTGTCAATAAATTGGTTTTGGGTTGCACCCCATCCAGATCAAAATCATTTTGGATGAATTAGATGAATCAATAAGACATTAAATTGGATCAGCCCAGATTTAATGGTTGAAAGTATTTTTTGGAATTGATTGGACTTAATCCATCCATAATGGATTTATATTGAATTGAGCCAGATTGAACAAAATTCATTGTAGAAGATAAGAATACAAGTGTCAATTGATCAGGTTTAGATTGGAATAAATGTAAATTAAGACCATTTTGAGCAGATTGAAGGGTCCCAACATTGAATTGAAGCAGTCGAAAATGGTCTAAAATATTCACCTGAATTAAATTGGACGTAGTCCATTTGTAATGAACTTGTATTAGATCGGATTGGACCAATTCCTATACAATTGACACCCCTAGTAATGTCCACGATCCACATTGTCCCGAACCAGACCCATCCATTGATAGCTTTACTTACGTTTGAATCCATTCGGGTTGGGAATTGGGATAGAATCTAAAATACGTATATTTGAATCCGATCCTAATGATTATTGAATTTTCGTTGGACTCGTATTGTATTTGGATATTATATATTGTCAATAAATTGGGCTAAAAAGGTAAATAAAAAATTAAACTAAAAAAATGGCGAAAATGTTGTATTTCATTAGTAAATTAAATTGCAAACAACTTCAATGAGATAATGATACTCGAATTTAGGAGCCATAGGGTATTTAACTTAAACCAATTTTGTTTATAAAAAAATGTTTTAATATTTTAGACATAAACATGCAGTTGCTGTTTGATACATTTTGGGACTCCGATCTTTATAGGATGGCGCTGGGTTGCATTCAGATTCGACGGATTTGATTTTTTTTTTTAATTATTTCTTTTGAGATCGAAATCCGATTTAATCGAATCGAATATTGAATTCGCACTCGGATCATCAGACACCGTTGACAGTGACATAGAGTGAGAAATACAACGCGTCGATGAAGAATCTTCAAGCGAGCAGTTGGGGAACGGTGGAATATGTGAATAGTGACCCCGCCAACTTGGGGTGTCAATCGGATTGGATTTGGTCCAGTTCAATCCGATCCAACGTTGGTCCATTTACAAATGGATCGGATCAAATTCAATCTAAATCTATACAAACTGAATTGGATTCAGTCTATTTGAAATACAAATAGATTGGATTGGGTCAAATTCGGTCCAAACTAAATAAAATTTCAAAAAATACTTGAAAGCCCAGAAAATGTGAAAAAATTACAGAAACGGTTTCTTGAAACAAATAGTTGGCCCTTGGACACATCTTGTTTGCGCAAGCATTCTACTTGGTTCTAGTGATTGATATGAATATCTCAATTTCAAAGCACAGGAGTATAGAAGCAAACGAGCAACAAGCCCATTCTATTTGAAATTTTTAATAGCTGAACGGTCCCACCACCTGTTCCAAAATTCCAATCTGAAGGCTATCAAACGCATTCATTGCCTTGGATGTGCTTTGGTCCAGCAGATCATCCCACTGAGACATAAGAGTCTAACTAAGGCACTGATCATCCTGATCATAAAGGTACATCAGTGCTGCCACCAAAGCATTTTGTTCTTCTTTCAAACCTCTGAAACATACTCTGAAACCCTGTTTGCTTCAAAAGTATTGCAGCTGAAAGCTTGGTTCCTGTAAGGCAATCAACAAGTAAATTCTATGTAAGGGATATCAGTACAACACCTCAATAATGGAGGCATGAATGTCATCATGGTTCAGTTTCTCTGTAACAAAATTTCATAGAGCTAAATTCCAAAATTTCACCCAGCGCCTTCCCTCTTCCGCCCTGATTTGTGATTTGTGAAACAAATTTTGTTGTAAAATCGAAACCCTTGAACATTCAAATCCTTTCGTATGAGCCCGTGCATTGGTTGTAGATGCTGCTCATTCAAATAATTTTCTAATCTCCCAAACTCATCAATGGAGGAGGAGAAGGCCGCTGCATATTATGACGAGCTCACACGGAAAGGCGAGGGCGCTGCTAGATTCAAACAAGGCCTTGAATTCTCCTCACAGTCTTCAAATACCACTAACGATGCCTTTAGAGGTTCTGCTCTCCCATCTTCGTCTTCCTTTCTCAGCAATTTCGTTAGGGCTTCCAGTCCCGATAAAACTGCAGATCTCCAAAGACAAACACAGCTCGAAAGTATTTTCAAATACCACTAACAGTTTCGATTTTGGCTTTGAATCACACCTGTGGGGTTTGGCGAAATGGTGATTCAACTATTAGGTTCTGGTTTTAGACCGATTTAAACCAATAATAATACGGACGGTTTTATTTTGGGTTGGCCCAACCCAATAAATATAATGGATTGTCCAAAATTGATTCGATAAGATTTAAATCGATTTGGATCTAACCCAAAACCGTCCAATTGACAGCCCTACCGCCAACACCATCAGCCTGGTCCCAAAAAAAGGACAATTATTTTTTCATGGATCATCATCCGCCGGCAACGGCTACGGTTCGATGTATTCAAACTTCAATGGGAGGAATTGGATTATTTGGGGTCCACTCCTAATACATTTTTCTCTTTGATTATATACGTGGCTGTTTGGTAGATGATCGTTGATCACCCATTTACAAATTTGCATGGGTGCACTTTAGTCAATAAAAATTACGCTCATTGTCTCCTTATAGTCAATTGTTTCTGTATGCTCCTCACCTTCTTGGAGGATGTGGTTGAACCAATTGATTTTTCGATAGATAGCGTCAAAATTATCCCTACCCTACGTTAGTTAAGATGGGGACGGGTTCTTCTCGTCTAACTCCCTTAGTTGAGACAGTACATTTTATAACTCAGTCATGCATTGAGAACATCTGGGGCGGGTTCCACTCTGGGTCTTAGTAGTGAGATCAGATCTGCTCCTCACAACTGACGTCTTAGACGCACATCTTATCAGAAAATATTTCTCTTGTTAAAAAATATTCACGGGAAATATTTCCAATAGACGGTGGATATGCGTGTGAGGCGCCCATTTATGAGGAGCAGATCCCGTTTCCTTAACAATCACAGCGGAATTGTCATCTGCTCCTCACAGAGGGGCGCCTCATCATGCATTGGGAACATTTCCCATGAGGTCGGTGTGAGGCGCCCTGTGTGAGGAATAGATCCGATCTCGTAGCAGCTGCACAGTAGAGTAAGCCTGTGACTAAAAGATACGTCGAAATTTTTCTCAGATACGTCACACACTCATTAAAAAAGTTTTTCAAGTTTTAAGCCAAATTTTATTATAATCGTTGCTCCACAGGTCTTTTGAATATTTGAATATCTTTGAGATCGATTTGAAACGTTTAACTCCTGAGAAGCCGACTGATATTGCCGATAATGAAAATATGGGTTTTAATCCGTCCTCCTTCATGTCTTCTACCCTGATGGTTGGTGTGTCTCTTTCGGTTGCAAATGGGTTGCTTTCAAATAGGTGGGTAATGAAGATGTTTTCCTTTTGAATATTTCCAAATCTAATCAAGGCCTATCGTCTTATTTGCTGTCAGCTGTCTTTTCTGCGTTCCCTTGTGTATATTTTCTCCCTTCCCTTCTTTTTTCCTCTTGCACCCATTAATGGTAACTGATCTGCTCAGCTTGGGGATAACAAATCTTTGAGATTTTGGGTGATGTTTTGCTTTCAACTTATTTTCTCTGTTAAATATTGAATGGAAACTTTGAGAGTGAGACTGGCTTGATTTAGTTCTCTTCATTACTCAGTCGTCTTGATAGGTAGTTGCACCTTGAGCACTGTGACTGAAATAATGTCACTTTCACCAAAATCTGAGAGCAGTGCATGGTAGTGTTTCAAGTTAGCCCTCTGCCTTTCCTGATATGTCCTTCTATGTCCTCTGTCTGGGATTAGAAAACAGGACAGCTTAAACTTGGTCTTCAGTTTGTCTTTCGTAAATTCTTGAAAATTAGGACAAATTGTGATTTATAGTTATTTTCCCATTCACTAATACCACCTCATATGTGCTTTCCATTTTTGTATGTATTTCTGCATCTTTTTATTTTCCGTGTTCTTTCATGTCAAATTTCCAAACTTTGTTCCTAAGAAATAGAAAAAGGTCAAATACAACCCATTTGAATTTCTGCCTTGGAAAAACAACTTCACATTGAAGTCTCTAGTTATAAGTGTATTGATATAAAGTTGCTTCTAGGTCTTTTATAAGTTTAAAGGGTTTAAGATTGATAAATGCTTGCTAAACATGAATATATATATATATATATATATATATATATATATATATATATATATATATNTATATATATATATATATATATATATATATATATATATATATATATATATATATATATTTTCTGGTTTGGTTTTGATATTTGTTAACTTTTTTTTTAATAAACTCCATTACTGGTTTTGTTGCTTAAACAAAACCATGACATGTTTTTTGTCTTCTGTTATCTGAAGTCTCTAGTTATAAGGTGTATTGCTATGAGGTTTCTTTAAGATCTTTTATAAGCTTAAAGGGTTTAAGATTGATGTATACTTGCTTAATGTGAATGCCTTTTTGCTGGTATAGTTGTTGATACTTCTTAATTTATAAACTTCATTGTTTGTTTTGATGATTGGACAAAATCATGTGGTGTTTTTGTCTTCTGTTACAGGTTCAATGATTTTAGACAATGGACTACTTATAAAGTAGATATCTTTTACTCTTCATGAAGGTACGTTAATCACTTAAATTTTCCTTGCATGATTATCCTTTAGGTATTAATCTGCCTATTTAAATATTTATTTGGAGTGTTTCAGAACTATGCAATAGGGAGATTCCATTTTCTGGAATGCTGGCCATGTGAGCCATTGTGTATTCAGGTTTCACACCCATGCTGACTCATATTAGGCTTTGAAAGTCATAGTGCTAGACATCTCATTATCAATGCTGATCACTGGGACCTGTGTTAGATGCTGGACCAGTAGACAAATGGCTAGTGAAATTTCTCTGGAATTCAAAGGTTACGTGTGAATTAATATACAAGGGAAAACAAGGTTGTTTGACTTGGTTTAACATGGAGTTTTAGCCTGAAAGTGCAGACATTGGATGTTGTAAGGAAAAAAGTCCAAGGAGCAAATGTAAGAGTGAAATATAAGGGGAAGTAATGGGTTGAGAAGGATTCATGTCAAGCTGGAAATAGTCCACAAGGTCTTTAGCATGCTTGTTTTGAGATTCAGCTTAAATGTATCTAGCAAAGGGGGCTGAAAAAAACTTAAGAAACAGAAGGAAACTTGTTTAGGTTAAGCTGTGTAAGGACTAAAGAAACTTGATAACAGAAACAAGTAAATAAATGAAGATAGTGAGAGAATAAGTGTGGGAAATGGGGGTTGGAGATGATTTGACAATGGAAAAAGAAAAAAAAACAATTAGAGTATCAATTTTGACAATGGTAACAAAGATTCAATAAACTAACTTTCAGCCAATAGATCCTCATGGAGTTATATACATTAGTAGGGAAGTCTCTTCATTCATCTAGTGAATGAATTGAGCTTGTACATAGAATATTGGGAGAAGTACCAATCAGCCCAGATCAGAATTTACTAGGCCCAAAGTACAGGGGGAATGCATCCTGACCGTGAATTGATGCCAAATTCACGGGCAGGATGTGGTTTATAGGGGGGGAGAGGGCTAGTTGTAGGGGGGGGGGGGCTGGAATTCAGAATTCTGCATCATGTGTTTCCGTACTTTTCCCTAGAATATTTATTATAGAAACACAATGGTCCTTCTAAGATCTAGATACCTGATTTTCCTAAAAGAACTTACATACGACACCTGCAACTAAGAACCTAATCAAATATCATGTGTATGTGAAGTAAATCTTGAGGATCCTTCTATTGTTCAGTGTATATAGAAAATCCAATCAAATATTTGACCACGAAAATCAAATTTATATCATGTTTGGAAACTAATTTGCTGATCTTTCTTGAATTAACCCAATTTTGTGGGTTTTGTGCAGGAGAAATTGTTATAGCTATGGCTTGCTAGTGTAAATTTTTAGACCCATGAACTTGGGTTGGTTGACATGGGGTGTGCTTGACATTGATGCATTTCATGAATGATATAAAAAAATCTGTGTAGTTTTCAGTTGAGCCTTTTTATGGCCGGCTGGCATGGCAAGATAGCGTGGAGCTTCCTACCAGCACAGTGTGGCATTTGGTTAATGTGCAACGAGATGATAGAGTCTCTGGACCACTTGCTGGTACATTGCAGCTTCACGTATGGCATTTGGATGATAGTTTTTATGCTCTTTGCTATTAGGGGATGCTATCTAGCATCTGTGCCCTGTGGAGATGTTTTTGAGGGGAAGGTACCCTCATGGCCTGAGTGAGAAAGGAAAAATCATATGGCAAATGATTCCAGGGGTTGTCTTTTGAGTAATATGGCAGGAGAGGAGCTCTAGGATGTTTCAGAACAAAGGTTGCTCAGCTGAGGATGTTGGCAGAAAATATGGGGAAAATTGCTTTCAAGGGTAGCAGCACATAGAAGTTTTAATAGAGCAGATAACAGTAAATTTTGTGTACAAAAATCTTTTGTAAACACTGGGGGTATAGGATAATAGGAACTTTTTTGTATGTAATGGTTGTGAATTCCCTTTGTACAGCCTCTAGTTGTACAGGGGATTTTTTTCAATGAGAGCATAATTTATCTCTTCTCTATCTCTCTCTCTCTCACAGATGGATTTGTGAAAACCCCGTTGTTGGCTCCATTATGAAAGCCATTCAGAAGGCCATATGATCCTAAGGAAAAAAATATGGGTTTTGCTTCTATTTTCTCTTCCTTTGGGCCCACATCAGTTGGTATTGTTTTTTGCATAGAAAATGGATCATGATTTTGTTCACTTAATGGTTAGCAAGCCTGTCTTGGCAGGACTAAAGTAGGATTATCACTTCAATTATTTTGTTTTTTTCGCAATGATGAAGGCACAATGTAAAAACTAATTGATTCTCAATTTTACTTTTCTATTTACATAATTGATTCTCATGGTTACTAGTTACTTTCTGATTTATCTCCTGTGCAACTTGTTGGAGTACTTGAAGTGGCAAAATAAGTACATATCATATGGCTCCTTATTATATTAAAATTACTTGCTAGTACTTTATAACAGTTGAAAGAAAAATAATTAGATGCAATTTAGTTGCATTCTAGAAACTATTTATTTTGCCACTGATGTAGCTTCAAGGTTATCTAAAACTGAAAGTACTCTGACTTTCTTTATCTGCTTTTTGTTTAGTGTTTGGGACAAGATAATGAAGCTCCAGTTGGAAGTTGCCCTTGCTTATATCATTTACTTACTCTGGTTTCCATATATTTCATGTGGTTAGTATCATTTTCCTCTGCCATTTTTGGTTATTTTGCTCTAACCACTGATCATATATCTGAGTATAAATCTGAGATACCTGTGAGGTAGACTGGATAGGATTGCAAGCCTTCAATCATCTTACTGCTGCATGTGGCCATGACATGACACTGCATTCAAATTTCTAGGTTGGAGATATTTGGGATAAATGTAAATATCTGATTATTCTAAGCTTCTAATCTGTAACATTTTGTTTTTGTTGTCAGATAATATGGTAACAATCTAATAAAGGCCATTACCCAATGTTGATCCCATCTATCTGGGGTCTTGGTAGGGGCAGGCTGGATACAGTCCTAGACTTCGGTAATTTTTTGCACAAAGTAGCCACTCTTGGGTTTGAACTCATGTTCTTACGCTTGCCAGCCCAAGATTTACCATTATACCATGTAATGTCCCCTAAAATATGCTAACAATCTAGGGGTCATAAGTAGGTTTAGTTGTTTATCTTTTGAATCAGAGCTTAATTGCTTGCATTGGAGATCTCCTTGGTATGTCTTACTGAATGTCAAAGGGTCAAGTCTGCAATGTTTACCACTATGCTGCTAAGCGTGCTAGTGTTTCATTGCATATTATCTTAAATGTCTTCTGAGGCTATTGTTGATGTAACTAAATTGTTTATGCTGTTCCTTCCATATCAGTAGGCATTTAGTATTATAAGTTCATCTATACTCATATGTACACACTGTTTCAAGCCATTCTGATATGTACATCCATCTTTAAACTTATGATGACAGATGGGTTCTCTGGAGAGTCTGGCATAAACAAGTGGACTTGTTCATGTGCTTCTGCTCAAGTAGGCAATCAGAGCTATGTTATTGCAGCTAACTGTTCTACATCTTGTGATTGCAGTCCTGGTATGCTTACGATCATTATGGTTTGTGGTAGCTATGTACAGGTTCTCATTGTAAATGGGCTGGTGTACTTTTTCTCTTTATAGTATATCAATACAATACCAGTTCTTTAACCTTTCCCAAGAAAAGGGCTAGTTTCACTTAGCTTCAACAGATGTTGCTGTTTTGTGGGATTGGAATTATTTTCTGAGCCTGAACATAAAATGATGCAGATGTAGAAAAATGGAAAGAAACCGTGGAAGAAAAAAAAAACAAAAGTTTCCATGTTCCTGAACCAGTGACAATTTTGTAAATTTCTGGGTGATTATAGTTTTGGTTATCTTGAGTTTTTTGGTGTCATAGAAATAAGTCCAAGTCTAAAATGACAAATGGTTTTAAAGTCACTTTTCCTGCAACTTATGTTTAAGAGGTCAAAGCCTTTCTGTTTGATTTGCTTTTAATGTCATTAGATAGTTTTTCCAGTAATCTATCAAACAATTAGGGTGGCCCATTGGCTGCAATATTTGGATTCCTTTTCTTCTGTCTCAATGAACGATACCATTTCAAATTGGAAGGAAGTGGCAAATTCTGCCCCAATGAAGAATATCTCTGTTCCTAATTGGTCTCCTCCAGAAAGAGGATTTGTTAAGCTTAACGTTGATGGTAGCAGGCTGGGTAACTGGGGATTATCGGGTATTGGAGTGTTTAGGGATGAAGAGGGCAAAATGCAGGATTTTTATTCTGGTCAATTGGAGTAGATGATTCCTTGACAGCTGAAACGCTAATTGAAGGGGTAAAGAGGGCAATATCTTTAAAAGATTGGAAATTAATTATTGAAGGGGATTCCAAATTGGTTGTGGGATGGCTGGAAGTGAGGAGGCAAATATGTGGTGTTTTAACAATGAAAGTAAGAAATTCAAATGGTTCACACAAAATATGGAAGTGAGAGTTCAGTGGGTCAAAAGAAGTGCAAATTCTTTTGCTGATGCTCTTGCCAAACAAGGGGTGGGAAGAAATCAGTTGTTTTGGGCTCAGTTGTGTTGTAAAGAGAAGTTTCGTTGGGTTGGGGAGAGATAAGAGGGTTTATCTCTCTCTGCATTTCTTTCTTCATTGTATTCTTGTAATCTGTTTCAATTTTTAATGAATTTTCAGTTACTGATAAAAAAAAAAAAAGAACAAGTGCTTGTAAATCCATTATGTTTCGGAGAAGTAGGGAAATAATAGCCATTTTAATGTCAGAGGGATTGTGACTGTACTTTAGTCTTTTTTAGATTATTTTGGAATTTGTTAGATTTAGTAGGATTATTATTAGGTATTTAGAGTTGTATTGAGAATTAGATTCTATATTTGAGTGTCCTAGCGGGTTTGTCTTAGTTTTAAAGCAATGTGGTTTGTTCCCTAGTTAAAATTGGATTGCATAAAGGATATCCAACCCCCTATATTGATGGTATAATATGAGTTATTATATAGTTGAATTTTTAGTAGAAAATAATGAGCTTATTTGAGATTTACCTGCAGGCAAGAGTATTTTCTTTCTTTCTTTATTCTTGTCTCCTTATTCTAGACTTTTTCTTTTTCTTTTATTTTAGCCTCTTATTTGTATATCGGATTTTTTTTCTAGTTTAATGTTTACTCTCTGCTCTCAGCTCTAAACCTCTTTCTCTCATAATTCAGAATTTCAGATCCTTAATATTCCCCTGCCTGTTTTTTCCTTGAAAAAATTCAGCTCCTTTTCTTTTCTTTTGTGTGTGTGTGTGTGAATAGGCATTAATCTTTCAATTTGCAAAGTCGAGATAGTTTTTCAAAATACATTTGAGTTAATTGTCCAAGCAATATTAAGTATTTTCAAGAAGCTTTGCCAGACAGGGGTGATAAAAATATATGGTTTGTGTTTATGTGTGAAACTTGGAATCTTTGTGACTATAATGGCTTCATATATTGAAGGCTTGAAGCTGTTACACCTCTTCGTCTGTGTTTGCAGACATTTTTAACTTAGGTACACTCATTCTGTTTATAACATTTACCTCTGAGGATATATGATCTTCTATGATGTTTAGTCATTCTAATTGTGCATAGTTTCTTATAGAAGAAGACTCTTCCGGAGGAGCAAGTGGAGGAAGGTGGACTTGCGTTTGTGATGCTGGGGGATTTCCCACAGCTGCAGCTGGCATTCATGATTCAAGTTGTTTCACAGCCTGCAACTGCACATCTGGTAAAGTGCCTTTTCAGTGATGAATGTTGCTATTAAACCTTATTATTTCACACCTTTAATGGTATATACTGAATGAATTATATGCTGAATCCGTAATTTTTCATGATTGTACTTATGAAATTTTGAATTAGTGGTTGTGTCTAACATAAAGTTGAAAATTTGGGATACTTGTATAGCAAAATTACAACTTATGGTGATTTCCACACATTGTGTTGTAGTCTTCATGCTAGTAGAGAGGGAAGTAATGTATCAGCTTTTGGGTTAGAACCATTGAGCTTGTTGAGTAATGGGCCTCCATGTTTGTTCTCTTCTATTTTTTGTCAAAATTCAGTACAATGGCATCCATGAGTGTGACTTCTTGCTTTTTCTTCTTTTCGGTGAGCAATTGGATCAAATGGTCAACTTTTAGACAGGATTTGATTGTAGGTTTTGGGAATGTCCCTTCACACTTTACCCACTAGTTAAGCTAAAACTTCAGAATGAATGAATGATGTATGTAGGACAAATGATGAGGCTTATCCCAGGATGTAGACATCCTCATAAACACCTACACAAGAAAAAGAGAGAGAGAGAGAGAGAGAGAGAGGGAATGATGTATGTAGGACAAATGACAAGGCTGGTCCCAACATGTGGACATCCTCATAAACACCTACACGAAAAAAAGAAAAAAAAAAGAAAAAGATGGAATGTTCAGTGTCAGTGCTTCAGAAGCCACAAGCTCATAATGGTTAATTTCAAATGCTTTATATGCAGGTTTTTCTGTTGAGACAAGATCTTCAAGGAAGCACATTTCCAGCAAGGCCATTGTTTACATTCTGTTACTATGTGTTGTTCTCACAACTGTTGCATTTCTTGCTTCATTGGGATGTTATGTGTATCGGAGGGACAAATGTCCTGTTCAACCTCCAGTATTTTCATCAGACAAAGACTCAAGCTGTAATAGTGCTACCAACCTAATAACTCATAGATCTTCTTCAGTACCAGAATTCAAAGTAAATATAAAATCTCCCTTAAACCCCATCACAGGTAAAAGCAGATGCTTTTCATTTTAGTTGTTTAATTCCTTTTTAAGAATTTGAGCTGAAGATTTGCATAAGATTTCACCTGGTGAAATTTTAAAAAACAAGCTAAGGCTTTTTTTGTCATGAAAGTAACAGCATTAAGATGGTCTTTTTCCATTCTGAAAGTAAAACTATGAAGATTTTAATTCTCCCCCCTCCCCTCATTGTGTGGTTATATTAGCGGTAACATTTTTCTTTGGCCCCCAAAAGTCTCAAAACTACAATTTACTGCTTTTCTGCAGGGTGTATACAGAGAACTTCTTTTGTATTTAACAGCAAAAGGAGAGCAATGCCTGGGGCAATTGTCCACTTTACTTACTCTGAGTTGGAGTACACAACCAATAAGTTCTCCCGTTCTAATCTGATAGGGGTTGGAGGAAGCAGCTGTGTTTATCATGGACAGCTCAAAGATGGCAGAACTGTTGCTGTTAAACGTCTAAAGACTCAGGGAGGTCCTGATGTAGATACCGAGTTTTTGACTGAGGTATTGCTCCTCTTATTTGTGGCTTGTTGTTGTTATCTTTGTACTTCACTCCATCCTAAATGATGGTCAACTTTTTGTTTCTGCAGATTGAGCTCATATCAAGGCTCAACCACTGTCATGTGGTGCCTTTGCTTGGATACTGCTTGGAGTCCCAAAGGAAACAAGCTGAGAGGCTACTTGTCTTTGAATACATGTCCAATGGTAACCTGAGAGATTGCTTAGATGGGGCTCCAGGGAAAGAGCCCATGGACTGGGGAACTCGTGTTGGCATTGCTCTTGGAGCTGCAAGGGGCTTGGAATATCTCCATGAAGCTGCTGCTCCAAGGATTTTGCATAGAGATGTCAAATCAACTAATATTCTTCTAGATGAGAACTGGAGTGCTAAAGTAAGGTTCTTGAATTTCTTAAAAACCTAAATATCATAGACAGGAAATGGAGGGGGAAAAGGCAAGTTGACTAGTATATCAATTGAGTCAACTTGGTATGACAGGCAGGCTTTGGCTATATTATGTATACTTGCAATTTCATTTAAAGATGTTAAAGAAAGGCAATAATTATTGTCTCCTATAGCACAATGCTAACCTTATGAGCTTATGGGTTCTTCCATTAGAAGGCACAAGAAAGTGTGTTTGGCTAAGGTATGTATTTGAGTATTTCCTTGTGCTTGGTTACAAGGAATCCATAAGCTTGTAGACTAGCATTTTTCTTTACAAGTTTGGCAAGTTTATTTTTGCACTTATTTCACTTGAAGATCCTGATAATTTTTTTTGTCAATTAAAAATTTTGAAATTGTAATTTACTGATGTTGTATGGATCAAGCATTCCTGCTTTCTTAATGACTCACCCATACATGCAGATAACTGATCTTGGTATGGCCAAACACTTGAGGGCTGATGACCTTCCCAGCTGCTCAAGTTCTCCAGCAAGAATGCAGGGGACTTTTGGATATTTTGCACCAGAGTATGCCATTGTTGGAAGGGCCTCCCTTAAGTCAGATGTTTTCAGTTTTGGGGTTGTTCTTCTGGAGTTGATCAGTGGTCGGCAACCCATCCAAAAATTTCCCAACAAAGGAGAAGAAAGCCTTGTGATTTGGGTAAAACTATGACACCAGTCCTTTTCTTTGATGGGCATAGTTCCGTTCTTTATTTTTTCTTTTGGTCAGGATAAAATTGATAACATACTGATTTAACTTGAATTGTTCTTCATCCTATTGTAGGCTATGCCTCGATTACAGGATAGTAAGCGGGTGATTTTGGAACTGCCTGACCCACATTTGAAAGGGAATTTCCCAGAAGAGGAGATGCAGATAATGGCTTACTTAGCAAAGGAGTGCCTGCTTATGGACCCTGACTCTCGACCAACCATGAGCGAGGTTGTTCAAATCCTTTCCACTATTGCACCAGAGAAAACCAAGAGGCGAAATTTTCCTGGACAACTTTTTCAGGTAAACCATATGGTTTCACCATTACCTTTGTTTTATACTTCTGGCATTGAAATGCCTTTTGTCTCTTTCCATTTTATATATACTTTTGTTCAAAATTAAACATACCGACTGCTATTCAAGATGAAAACATAGATTGTACAACATAATTATCTAGAACTTAAAGTTCTATGGTTTGGATGCTTTGCATCAGGTCTATCATATATATTTTTCATTCAAAAATATTTAATCAATTGTCTATAGATTATTTCCATATATTTTTGAGGTTTGGTTTTTCTTCTGGCGTATGATTTGTACTTTCCAAATCTTTGGCATTGTTCAACAAGGGTGTCATTGTGTCCACCTGTGTCCAAGTAACATAGGCCTAGACTTCTAGATGGAAACCAAGTCATTCTCATTCATTAACTGACGCTCATTTTTAGTATTCCATTTTTGAAAGACTGGAAGTTGGGTTGAATTTCACCGGGATTCCAGACAGATACTGTTGAGTGAATAATGATTTTTTCTTAATCTAGCTCTCCTGTTCTGCCCTGATATCATTTTTTTATCTGCTTGGCTCCTTGATTAATTTGTCACTGCATTCATCATGCAGAGGTTATCCACTCCTAGTGTGAAGTGTGTAGCAGACAAGGAAAGGTGTGAAGAAGTGTCTTCTGTTCCCATTGATGCAGAGGATTTGAGAAGATGCCCTAATAGGTATTCGTTGCCACTCTCTGTAGACCGTAATTTATGTGTCGAAGACAGCAAGAAAGAGGCAGACTCGGTGATGTCAGCTGAGTGCATAGAGAAATTGGTCCTCTTAACTTCGAAAGCTAGGAGTTGGCGTGTGCCAGAGGATGAAACTGTAGACTTAACTGAGCCACGGTTTGAATCATTTTGTATGACAAATATTCAGTCTCTATGATTTTATTAGAACATATGAACAGGTTCTACTATAGAGCCACTGGTATGATATGATCATCTCATATTCACATGCTTGCTGGTTCGGGGGGTGGGGAGGTTGTGCTTAGTTCTCTCACAGGTTATTTTAGTGAAAATTGCTAGGTGTATTCTTTTATTTTTTTTGTTTTGTTTACTACTGTACAGAGAAATTGATAAAAAGTCTTGAGTTATATCATCATCATAAAGCACACATGGTTTAAAGTATGAGTGTTGAAAAGAGTATGGGAATATACTTGGAAAATGCGTGGCTATGGTGGGATAATTAGTAATTTGGATATTGAATATAAGGCTCAAGCGGCTCCAAGTAAGGTATAAATAATATATAAGACATGCATATTTTAATACTTTAGGTAAGAACTTTTGGCTCTGACAATTCATGAACTTTGCGCAAAGGCCAATTTCAACCCTAAAGAATAAAAAAGGGATATTTTGACCCCCAAACTTTGATAAAAAGGCCATTTGCAGGCAAAAATAATCACATTTGAAATAATGTTGACATATCCGTTAGACAAGTTATGTGGCATTGTTAAAGTTTGAGAAAAGGTCACTTTCAATACTAAAGTTTGAAAATAGGCCATTTTAATAAAGTTAATTGAGTAAATTATTTCAGGGCCTAATTAAATGACCCTCCTAAGTATTTAATTTACTTAGTTAAGTTAGTTAAGTAAATTAAAATGTATACTAATTAAGATAATTAAGTAATTAAATAAATTAATTAATTTAATTAAGGAAATGAAGTTAATTGGTTAAATTTAATAAACAGAGCTAATCAATCTAAATAAGTAAATTAAGCTAATCCAGAATGGTACCACTTTGGTCAATGGTTTGATTGTTTAGTTTGAATGGATCAACCCATGATGTTTTGAAAAATAAAAAACAAAATATAATTAACATAAAAAAATGACCCAAAAAATCATTTATCGAATCAAATAGTTTAGCGATTTAACTGTTTTGGGTCACGAATCTGTTTACTAAGTTAAAAATTTTGGGCAATCAAACTATTCGACCCAATAATTTTGGGTCAACAATTGGTCAATTGTTTAGTTCCATTTTATACAAAGGCAATTGAACCATTTGACCTAGGAACCAATCAATTACCTAATTCCATTTTATGCTTGGTCGAAATTTAAAAAAAAAAACATTTGACTTTGTTAACAAACCGTTGGCCCATACGGTTGAATTGCTAAATTGCTCAATCTAGTAATGGTTTTTGAGACATTCTTTATTTTAATTATATTTTATTATTATTTTTGTTTTTTTAAAATGTCATAGGTTGATTCATTTGGGCCGAACGACCAAATTGTTGACCTAGAAACTAGTGGTAAAATGGTTTTGTTTTGGATCGGTTTTTAAATTGCCTTGCTTAATTGGCTTAATTTACTTATTTAGATTGATCAACTTAGTTTGTTTAATTTAACTAATTAACTTTGTTTCCTTAATTAACTTAATTTACTAATTTAATTGCTTAATTTACTTAGCTATCTTAATTATTGTAATTTATTTCATTTAATTATTTAACTTCATTAAATAAATTAAATAACTTAGGGTCATTTAACTAATTAACTATATTAATTTATTGAGTAAATTAAAACTCAATTATACTTTAAGGTCATTTAATTAGACCCTAAAGTAATTTACTTAATTAACTTTATTAAAGTGGCCCGTTTTCAAACATTAAGATTGAAAGTGCACTTTTTTCAAAATTTAGCAGTGCCACATAAAGTCTGGGGGTAAAAAATGACCCTTTTATTCTTTAGGGTTGAAATTGGATTTTTGCAAAGTTCAAGGGTCGTCAGAGCAAAAAATCTCTTAATATCAGTGTAAATATCATCAACACTTAAAAAAAATATTAATTTTAATGACCAATTTTTTTTTTGTTTTCCTTTTTAAATTTAATATGGAACAAGGTCCAAAGTATCGGAAATGCCATGCGTGTTGGAAAGGAAAATTTGATAGATGTATCAAAATACACCTTGGATACACATGGATACAAATGAAAAATTAAAATACACATGGAAATGCTATAAATACTATAATAAATCATAAATAAACATCAATATCACTAAATATAAGACTTTAATAAGTTATTTATACATAAAAATCTCATGTTTTAACGGGTTTTATGAAAAAATATATTATAATCAACAAACGGGAACAAAAACATACTATTTAATAAAGTACTTAATTCAATTTCAATATTCCAACTTCCAACTTCAAATTTTAAATCTATTATAATATACAAATCCAACATTTGAATCCAATATGATTTTTACAACTTTACATGAATCACATAAAAATTCAATTATTATATAAATTATCCAATTTTAAGTGTTAATGTGTTAGTAAACTAATTTTCAATTGTCATTACGAATTTTTTTAAAAAGTTTTTAAATATATATTTTTTCAATTATTATCTAATACAAGTATTCAATTAAACAAATAATAATTGTTTTCATATTTTTGAGGCCACAATTATATTCACATTCAAATTATAGATTATCATATGCAATATATCAGTGCCTTGTATTCTGTATTTTTTTAAATATTTATAAATATTACCGAAAATTCTTTTTAATTGTTTTAAACATTTTGCCAAGTGTTATCTAATCCAGTTAAACAATTAACAATTATTGAATCAAATAATTATGTGAAATTTGTAATTATTGAATCAAAGATTTTTTCTGTATTGTTTAAATAATTATTTATTTTTATTCAAAAATTATTTTACATGTTTTATTCTACAAATTAAACAAATATTTTTTTTGAATGGCTTCATGGACATCTATTATTTTTATTCTAAAATTAATAATTATTTTGCATGTTTCGTTCTAAAAATTAAATAGTTATTTATTTTTATTCAAATAATTATTTTTCATGTTTATTCTGAAAATTAAGTTAAATTAAAAAAGTAAATATGTAACAGAAAAGTTGAATGGATTTAGGACATAATAGATGAAATACTTATTTTTCATGTTTCATTCAAAAAAGTAAATACTTATTTATTTTTATTCAAATAATTATTTTTCATGTTTTGTTCTAAAAATTAAACTAAAATTTAAAAGGTAAATATGTAACAGAAAAATTGAATGGGTTTATGGACATAATATATCATCCATATATTTACTATAAATATTTTTTATTAGAATTTAAATCATAGCAAAAAAAATAGAGAAATAAATAAATATTTATAATCTAAAAATAAAAATTAAAAAAATAAATTAAAATTTTCACATGATAATTCTATATATTGATGTTAGTCTTAGCTCTACAACATACTCAACCTATAGGGTTAGATCACATAAAATTGAAGAAAATTTCTATATATCATATATTATTCCAAAAATTAAAAAAAGTCAATTATTTAGAAGAAATTTCAATTGATCTATGGGCATGGTAGATCATTCATAGATCTACAACATAGTCAATTTTTAGAGGTAGATCACAAGAAAAACCTAAAATTTTCATTTCTTTCAGATATTTTGCTATTCTAGAATTTCTTCAAATATTTACAAAGATCTACATATAGGAGAAAAATAAATGGGATTTTTTGTACAAGAATAACATATCAACATACACAAAGTGACAAAGATGTTTCTAAGCATCTAAACTAAAAGAAACGCAAAAACATTGGCTAAGATTGTAAAAAAATTAAAAAAAAAAACATATTTTCGCTCATTTTTTAACAATCTTGAAAAACTTGTTGGATCATGCAAATTTGTGGATGTTTTGGTGGATTTTGGCTAGGTTTCAATCTCTAGGAATGGTATTAAGGTTTCTAGAGGGTTTGGGGAAAAAAAGAGGGCTTTTGAAATAGGTTCAGAAGCCCTCTTTCGAATGAAGTTTTTTCGTTTTCCGCAACAGTAAAATTGCATTGTATCGGCCGATATGCTAGCAACCTAGCGTATCGGCCAATACAGCATCGAAACAAGCCGATACTCACTGAAATGTTATCGATATGGGCATGATACAGTTCCGGCACAACGGAAAAGAACGGTACTAAGGATTTGGTATCATTCCCTGTGCTAGAACCTCAAAAATACGATACATATATGTATCGGCCAATACGAGCCGATACATAAAGAAGTTTTGAACCTTGATATGGAATGACCATGACCATATCATACCAATACTTGAACCTTGTAAACGATTTTTTTGAGATTCTCTCTCTCTACTTGCAACTCCTGCACTTGTACAAGACCACTGGTTGTTGGGAAACATGGCAACATCACCCATATGCATTTAGAATTCTGCCCTTTGGTAACCTTCCCTCCGAGCTATCAAATCGAGTGATCTGAATTTGCCCAGATTACGTATCAAAAATAAATTTTCCAGCTTGTCCTTAGGTGGATGTTGGAGGTAGGGCTGAAAAAGGATCGAATTGGATACGTTAAGTCCAAATTTGATCCAATTATAAATGGGCCAACTTTTTCTTTCTAGCCATAAATTAATGGATTGAATTTTGGATCAGCCTAAGTAGAGATTGTCTTTAGAGATTTGAGAACAAAAGGGGTTGGCTTGGTTCCGGGGTCACATGGGTGGTATTCTGTAGTCTCATATGATCCTAACAAGTTACCAGGTTTAAGATAACAGATATTTAGAAGATAGGGACCCATTTTCTTTGAAAATACATTTTGGTTAATAATTTACTGATTTTGACTTTAGGAAGCACCCTCAGTAACATACACCAGGTAGTAATATATTCTGATGCAGCTACGATTGCAAAATGTCATGAAGATAATTTACAGGAGCTACACTGGATAGAAATAGAACAGCCTTTGAAGTGAAGGATGCTGTTTGCCTTCCTATCCAATAGATTTTGTGAATGAGAGAAAAATGAAGTTACCCATAGACTTGCTTATGTTGCTTGTAAAAAAAGTGTGTTGTTTGTATACACTTTCCAATATCATGTATAGAATTAATCTTCAAGGTGTGATACATCATACATTGAATTCTGGGTGTTGATCATCCTAAATCTAGGACAGATGGCAAGTTATGGGCCTATCCCCAAACCAGTTGTAGGTCTGTGTTCCTAGCTAGACTCGCAAAGTTCAGGGTTATCAGAGCCAAAAGTCCTAATAAGAATGGAGGGTGGCAGAGGTTGATCTATACAGTTGGTGCTGTCCATTGAAGACGGGCATTCATTTGCTCGTACAAGTATTTGGCTGTCCACAGACTCTCCCCTGTGCATTAGTAACCATGCTGAAGGTATGACTGTATGCAAGGTTCAAAGTATTGACACGTATCAGTCAATGCGTATTGTTTTGGGACTCCATTGATACGTCCCTACAGTGGGTGTATCGGAGGCCTGACCGGTTCAATGGGTAGAGGAGACCTAAACTGGCCCCCCTGAACTGGTTACGAAAAAAAAAAAAACAACCAAAATGTGTATTGATTCACCCAATACGTCCCTACCGGCGTATCAGGCGTATCGATATTTTGAACATTGGTTGTATGAACTAACGTGTCCCATAGTGGGAGCCTATGGACAGCACAGGCTATGGAAAATGAATGGACAAAGCTTTTTCTGTCCATGATTCATTACTGTTATTGTATAAATTAATAAAAGTTTCTTAGGGGAGGATTCTAAAAAAAACCCTATTTTTTGGGTTTTGTCCTACATATTTAAAAACACTAGTAATGTTGTATGTGCTTTGCACATGTCAATTCTAGATGATGATAATGATAGTAATAATATATCCAAATTTTTTTATAAATTTTTATGTTTTTTTTTTTATTTTAATATTTAATATTTTTTATTATTAATCGGATGTAGAATACAAAACCCAAACCTTATTACAAAAACACCTCATCCAAATATGTGATAATCGGATTGAGTTATGAAGTTTCAGATATCATTGACAAGCCTACCTGCTTGGCAAGGATGCAAACAGATTATATCATATTCAAATAATGGAATATCCAATCCAATACTATTAATAATAGATCCGATTGCATCTCATAAACATGGATTTTAATATGAATCCGATCACATCTTTTCAACTATTTCATCATACATATATTTATAAAATAATAAATGATATAAAAAATTTATAAAAATGCAATATATATATATATATATGTATATATATGATCAAATAGGGAGTGATCCAAATTCAGTCCAATTTATGATTGGATCCTATTATCCAACCCAATCCAATATGAAGATCCAGACCGGGGATATCCGAATTCGACAAAAAAGGATTGGATCCAATCCTTTTTGGTGTATCTTTTACACCCCTCTACTACTTTGCTAGATTCTTCATTTTGTAATTTGTTTGGTGTATCTTTTTATTGTTCATTTATTAAAAAATGTAATATTTAAATAGAGTGAATTAAATGTGGTAAAAAATAGTAGTTTAATTTATAATTTAAATATCATAATTAAATAAGGATTAAATTAAAAAAAAGAGTATTTTAGTCAAAAAAAAATTCCACAATCTTATTCATATTTTTAATAGTAGTGTAAGTATAGAATATGTGTTCAATTTTGACTATAGTTTTTTTTTTTTTTGTATTTTTGTGTGTAAAACTAAATTTGATATTTTACACTTACTTTTCGTTTAATATGATAAATATATGATATTATACATGTGTCTAAGGGTGTTAATGAATCAGTTTTGGACTGGACCCCATCCAGTCCAAAATCAATTTGGACGGACCAAAAAGACATAGTGGATTGGACCAATCTAGTCCAAAATATTTATGAGATTAAACTGAACCTGGTCCGTCCATAATAAATTTATATTGGATTTGGTTGGATCAAGCCAATATTTGGTCCATTGATATAAGATAAGAATATAGGTGTCAATGGATCGAGTTTGGGTTGAAACCAATCTAAATTAAAATAAATTTGAACAAATTGGACAGTCTGAACATTGAATTGGATCGGTCCAAATTATTCATTGGATTGGATTGGACCTGGTCCATTTGTAATGGAATTGCATTGGACTAGATCGGGTTGGACCAAATCCGTTCCAATTAGGGGTGAGTACTATTTGGTTAAAACCAAAAATTTTAGTTTCGATTTTTTTTGGTTTTTGGTTAATTCGGTTTTGGCTAATTCGGTTTTTGGTTTTGTTTTTTAGAATTAGAATTTCGGCAAACCGAATTAACCGAGCTTTTTATTATTATTTGTAATATATAATATATAATATACTAAAATTTGATTTCACAATATATATTTTATAATATATAATATATATTATATGTTATAATATATAATAGAGTATATATTATTAAAATTCAGTTTTAACCAAAATAATCAAAAACCGAACCGAAAATTTCAGTTTCAGTTATTTCGGTTTTTCTAAATTTCAGTTTCAGTTTGGTTTTTAAAATTTCAATTTATTCGGTTTGGTTTTTAATCAAATAAACTGAATGCTCACCCCTAAGTCCGATTGACACCCCTACATGTGTCTGAATGCTTTTTTTTTTGCAAAATGTATGCATTTTTATTTTATTAATTTTTATTATTTATTTATGACGTTAAAGTTTAATACATTTAACCCATTGAACAATTTATTATTAATTTTTATATTTCACGTTTGACCAATTCTAAATTATGCATTTCGTTTTCATTATTAATAAAAATAATTGTTGTTTATTATGTTTATTTTTAATTTGATTACATAAATATGTCTAATTTTTTCTACATTTTTTGTAATTTTTTATATTTATTTATATTTTAAAATTTTAATTACCTAATTATGACTTCATAGATTGATCAATTTGATTCCGATGGTTAAATTGCTTAACCACCACTTGATAAAGAATGGTTTTGTTTTTAAGTCAATTTTAAAATATATGGATTTATACTGTTAAAAACATTGACATTTATCTAATTAGTGGCATTTATTAGTGAAAAATAACTTAAAGTATAGGATCTAATAAAATAAAATGAGATTTAATACCTTAAATATAAGACTAAATGAGAGGGGATTAAATGAGGTGGAAAGTAATAATTGAAGTTACATTTTCAACCCTTACAATTAGAGATGGATTAAATACACAAATATGACCATTATAGTGGCCAGTAAAACTGACATTAAAGATATAATAAACGGTAATTTTAGTCCAAAAACATTTCACACTATATTCACAATTTTATGTATAGTATAGATTTGTTACAACTAGAAGTGACAAATAATCACCAAATTGCATAAAAAAGCTAGGAGCCTTTGATGTATTTGTGCCTTGTTTCCTTGTATAAAAAGGGCATCCACAAATATGTAAGAATAGTTCGTTCATACCGAGAAACTGATGTGGCAAGCTATTTATTTATTTAACTTCTCCAATTATCCTTTCCCTTCTGACCGTGGAAGATGATTTTAGTTAGAGTGGAACATTATTTGTTAATTGGGTTTCGTTTTATTTACCAATGTTCTTGAAGCATTGAAGTTGAATGGTAGATGGACATAGGAAGAAAGGAAGGTGCACCAAACAGCAAAACATAGATCAGACTTTGTTGAAAGACTTCAACACCAATAGTGCACTCTTTCCTCAATCATCTTCTCCAACTCAGTCATGGATCCACCTCCCCCGCCTGAAGCTCCATTGCTCCCGCCAGCTCCACCTCCACCAAACGGAGGTTCAGGCGGCCTGTTTGATTCTTGGTGAGATATATTTCTTATTTCTTCTTATTCTTCCTGTATCTGATCAAATCTGACATTCTATATCTCTGTTTTGTTTTTCCAAATTTGCAGCTTGTGGTTCCTCTGCTGTTGTGGCTTGTTTGCTAGTTGCTGTCCACCTTTGTTTGAGCCAGGACCTCCACCACCAATGTGATGCAGATTTTCCCTTCTATTTGTCACCATTTCTTTTGGGGTTTGAATGTGTATGTGTGTATGTGTATGAGAGAGAGATAGAGAGAGAGAGGCTGGGCGATTTACCTTGATGACTGTGTAATGGATGTTTTTCTTTATTCATTATGTTGGAGGTATTCCTGAATGCCTTCACTGTTACATTAATATTTTCGACTCGGGAGTCAGGAGGAGCTAACTTTGTTTTCTCCTATCAATCCCTTGTGTATTTGTGTTTTCAACTTTTATATGTATGTCTAGTGGCTTAAGTTGGTGATTATCGCAGATTGATACTGTTATTCTCTTGTACTTCTCATAAGTTGGATCTTGATCCTTGAAATCCCTTCATTCCGATCTTGGTAACATACATTGCCGTTGCCATATAATTGTGGGAATTTGCATTCAACACTATCTAGCGTTTAGCGTTACAGTATCGAACTGATAATCCCGTAAGGTTTTAAGAATACTGTGTACAGTTGCTAGCTTCATCATTGGCAAGTGGATGTGGGCCAAAGAAAACTCCATACACTTGTTCAAAAACTTTGTTGTTTAATCCTTCTAACTCGTAGTGATATAATGAGACGGACAAAACTATAGCTCAAATATCTCAGTCTACCCTTTTTATGGAGTCTAGGCAAACTTGACATTTCAAAAACTTTCTGTGAATGCTATTCCAATATAGGTGGTCCAAATCCCTGTGTCCCGCGAGGAAGCATTACTTCTCTTTTCATTCAAGCCAAGAATAAGACTGATGCAATTTGATTGATCTCAGATTACTTTTTTGTATCCGCTGATCCTCGCATACAGTTCAATCCTTTTAAGGTCAAATCTCAATTTTAGGGGAACCGATCTACGTTGCTATGTAACATTCTTTCCAGCCCTCCAGGGGCACCCCCCAAATTCCAAACATAAACTTCTTTCAAAGTCCTAATTCCTAAATGTTTTTCTAATCCAATCTTGAGTTTCAACTGCAGCCGTAGAAGGGAGAAAAGGGATAGTTAAACAACCAAAAATCTCATTTATCTCCGTACCAAGCTTTTATTTGAGAACTCAGAAACACACAACAATGGCAGTTGGCAGAGACCTGTGGGGGGGGGGGTGTTAAGGGGATGGGGGATAGGCTACCGTGTAGCCCCATGAAACAAAAAATGCGACACACTACAATTATCTCACCATAATAATACTGTATTACTGTGTATTGACATTCTTTTGAAGAAAACTCCTGAACTGCACCTCTTTTTCTCAAGAATACAAAAGAAAAAGTGTAGTTCTGGTTTCAGTGGGTCTCATTTCATTTGTGTAATGGTATTTGATTGCAGCTATCACTTGGAAAAGATTATTTAAGGGGATGGGGGATGTAGCAAACAAAAAATGAGACTACAATTATCTCACCTTAATAATACTGTATTACTGTGTATTGACATTCTTTTGAAGAAAATTCCTGACCTGCACCTCTTTTTCTCAAAAATACAAAAGAAAAAGTGTGGTTCTGGTTTCAGTGGGTCTCATTTCATTTGTGTAATGGTATTTGATTGCAGTTATCACTTGGAAAATATTATTTTATCTACAACATAACCTCCCAAAATTATAACAAGTTAAGAAAAAGAAAAAGAATATAAGTATATAAGCATGAAGAGGAGGATAAATGATGATTAGTCTAAAAAGTATAGGGATTGAAAATTTTTATTGGGGACTCCAAATGACCACCATTAGATCATTAGAAATGACAAGAAAGATGAAACTCAACGCCAAATAGTATTTATTATATTACTTTTTTGTTAATACAGAAGAGAAGGTGTTACACTGTAACAATCAGATCTATACAGAGGACCTAACTATCGCTTGACTTGCCCTCATTTGGACGAGGAATTCTCTTGTACTCATAGTTATTTATGTCAACTTTCGCTTGCAAAGCCTGTAAAATACAGAAGATCAGTCAGATAGGCTCCTTCCCACATGCATCAAACAGATTTTGGAAACACAGGAGAATTAGAACTCTACCTTGAGTTCCTCTTCCAGTGAAATCTTCTTAGGTTTATAACCTTCTACCGGTCCTGTTCTTGATAGTGCTTTCCTAGCCTCAATAATTTCCCACTCATGGTCGTCTTTCACCTTTGCCACATCTTTACTGAATTACAATCCAACTACACTTTAGAAGACAGCGATTCCTCACAAGGAATTTAAGAGATGCAGTGCAGAGTGAATTTGTGTTCATGCAAAGGTGCAAACCCAATTGAATTTGAATAAATGTGCTTAAATTATACAAGAATAATCTGCAATTCCTACGTCATAGAACATGCAAGAAAGCTCTAAACAGGTGATGTACTCCGGACTCAATCAGCTTTATGATCTAAAAAACAAAGCTTTACTAGATGATCCCAAGACCCAAGCCCATATGAGGAGATATTCGTTTTCTCATCATCAAGATAAATAGATTTACACTTTACATGGGCAAAGGTCTAGCTTGATAAAATCTGAACACTTTAATTTGAACACATTCATCAATTCCTAGAATCCCATCTGCAATAAAATTCTATGTTTAATACTGAGAATTGGGTTATTCATTTTTTTCTTCTTCCAATACTAATCAACGGTTAGGGTTCGTTGTTGGATTTCATGTACTGGTCTTAGAAATAGAAGCTGTGAAGTTAGGGACGTTGTTCAAGTAGTAAAATTCCCACTTTCATCAATTTCAAGCATACCATGCACAGTTGAAAACAATTTCGTATTCTAGGGTTTGGGTTTTCCAAACATTGCTTGACTAGTTGATTCATCACGGAGCCGATGGTAAAAATTTTAAAATTTTAAAACTGTAAATTCAATCAACACTGACCTTCCTTGCAAGAGGTGAGCAAGCCCAGCTGCACCAAAAACGGTGAGTGAAATCATAGGAAGCCCGTATCTGAGAAATGGATATTTCCTACCCCATCTTTTAAACTCCATAGCTGAACGCCGAATCTTATCACTCGTGTCTCCTAGTTTCATTTTCTTAGGAAGGTCCATTGCTGTGTCAGTAGTCATCGTTTCTTCTCCTTCTCTTACCCAGAAGGCCAGAACCCAATCCAGCAAAAATATATTAAAGACCAAGAGGGAGGAAACAGAGTCTGTGCAGAGAGAGACGATCCGAGCCGAGATTGCACTCATCTAGGGTTGTTCATTTTAGAGGGTCTACCGGTCTAGGAGAGTTTGAAAAGACGAAAACACCCTTATACAACCCTTTGCTCTAAGGGTAATTTTGTCTATCTGCTCTTAATTGTTAATACCCCCCTTGGCTTGGTTCCAGCTTTCCAATTCCAGCCTCCTAGGTACCGTGTCTACTCGTCGTAACCAAAAAAATGCTCTTACAAACGAAACTCTCTCCCTTTGAATGGTGAAATCTCTTTGTGATTCGCGGGTCGAGTGAGGTAACAAATCCAACAGGCGCATGTTAACGGGAAATCTTTAGGTGCTGGCTTCTATTTGAACGTCGGGTCGGAAGAGAGTGGAAAGTGTGTTGTGTGCACAAATTTGGAACTCTTGAAATGTCCGGAAAGACTGCGACGGCTCCTACGACGTACTCGCCGTCTCCGACTCAGAAAAAGCGGCAACCCATTTTCAAAGATGTCGACTGGATTCGTCCTGATGGTCGAGGCTTTCATCAGTGCAGGCCTGCATGTTGGTTCTTTCTCCCTCGCAATGTCTTTGCAGTATTTGATTATTTGCATTTGAAGTGTTTGCTTTGATTTTTCTTCTTTATTTCTTTATTTGATTATTTGATCGAATAGGTATCCATTGAGTGGTATTTAGTTTTGTTTTTGACACTGTATTGTGGGTTGTTGATTTTATTCTCTTTCTGTGTGTGTGTGTGTGTGTGTAATGAGTGGTATCAATTCGAATTTCTAGTGCGGTTTTATTGTAGTATTATAGATATTGCGTGACCTTGATTTTTCTATTGCATTTTGGACTATATTGGGGAGGTGCTCCTGTCCCTGTATCTGCCACATTAGATTGGTTGCTTCCCCTCCACCCCCGCCCCCTTATTTTGAGTGTTCCTTCGGTCATAGTGAGGTAGGTTCAGTGCCTCTTTTCATGTTTTGGCATGACGCTCTTGAATGGAGGTTATAAAACCGGGTGGTTTAGTGTCTAACTTTCTTTATTAAAAAATATGGTTTAGTACCTATTGTGACTCTCAAATCTCTCATATGCCTTAACGTCTGAATGTTATGTCAGGATGAAAATGGACTTTCTGGCGATTTTGTTGTCTGGTATAGTTCTTTATGCTAAAGCTTAGAGGAGCATGTATCTGTATCTTGAGTTATCATTTTGTGTTCAGGGTTTTCTTGGTTTCCACCTTGCTATATGTTAGGTATAAATCAAAATCATCTACTATTTTCATTCAATGACTAAATTAATTGGCAGCGACATTCTATACTATCCTTCTTTACGGGTCAAGAAAATGTATGCTTTGATGAAGCCTATGTTTTTTAATGATTTTCAGCTGGCTATAGTTGGATGTATACATCTAATATTTCATTCAATAAACTAAATTAGATAACAGCAAAATTCCACTCTTTGAATACTAAAATCACTTTCATATGTATTTCTTTTTTTCTACAGTTCTACTATCACTTCCACTTGTATGCATGTCTAGGCTTTTAATTCATTTTCATAAGTGTTTAGCTGCCACATTGGATGAATTGTAATGGCATTTAAGGTTCAGTTTAAGATTTATTCAGGAGAATGAATCTAAGTTGTTGGTTCTTGCAGTTTTGAGAACTGGTGCTGTGAATGCTGCCGCAGGATCTGCTTATGCGGAGTTTGGAAATACTAAGGTTATTGTGTCCGTGTAAGTACTTTTGCATCACATTAAGGCCTTTCTCATTTTCTGCACCTTCTTCAAAATCTTAGAGAATGAATAGATGAGAGCTCATGAGCTATGTTCTACTAACATATTTTCTCAGTATTGTTGGCAGTGTTCTTGTATCATTAGATATTCTTTTCCTCACAGTGATGTTTATCGTTTTAGATTGGAAATCTAACATGCTTTAATATTCAGACTTAAAGACCTTTTCTGGTCTCGTCTTGGATATGAGGTTTTTGAGTGGGCAATTAAGAAACATGGGATGCCTGTATATAAATGTGATTAAGTTTCTACTTTTATACAAGTGTATTATGTACTTCTATACAAGAGTATATGATGTACTGAACTGTGTACCAAAGGGATATACATAACCAAGGATTTTTGCACATTGTTACTTAGGTGTCAGACAGGAAAGGTTCTATGTCTTTACTACATTATCCTATTTCAGTATTTCTTGTGATTCATGTTTCAGGCTACAGGGTTCCTACCAGGCCACCACATAACTAAACTCAGTAAGGCCTTAACCAAATTATTATGGGGCTCATCCTATTTCTCCTATTGACTTGCCAAAAGAAAACTTTTTGTTTTTTTCTGGGCGTTACTTTTAATTAAAAGTTGAAGCTTCAATGGCTGGGTTTTCTAGGGGATGATTTTAAAACATGGAATGACAGGGAAATATAGGACTAGGGCATTAAACCTTTGAGCAATCAAGGAAATTGCCTGTTTAATGGGTTGCCTGAGTTAGCCGGTCATTCCCAACATGTTGAGTGGGTGGAGGGGGTATTTTAGTGTATATGGTGTAGGATATTTCTAGTGTATGCTTTATAGCACTAGCACTTGCGAAGTTGAAATATATAAAATAGTATGTTTCAACAAATCATGCATATAATGGCTGGATTCAAAGCCATTGTGCTAACATGCTGCCAGATTTCTTGCTGCTATATATAATATATGTATGTATGTATACAGTATATGTATGAATGCTTTATAGAAGTGCAGTTAAATTTGGCAACACGTAAGTACTGACAAATCATGTCTAGCTTCAAAAAACTAGATATAGAAATGTGATGTTAGCATGATAAATGGGATATCTATACCCATATCTTTGTTAGAAATCTTAATAGAGGGTTGTATAGCAGATCATCATCATCATCCAAGCCTTATCCCAACTATATGGGGTAACATGATGTCAGCATGTTAAATGGGATATCTATACCCATATCTTTGTTAGGAATCTTAATAGAGAGTCGTATAGCAGATCATCATAATCATCCAAGCCTTATCCCAAGTTCCCAACTCTATGGGGTAACATCATGTTAGCATGTTAAATGGGTTATCTATACCTATATCTTTGTTAGGACTCTTAATAGAGGGTCATATAGCAGATCATCATCATCATCCAAGCCTTATCCCAACTCTATGGGGTAACATCATGTTTGCATGTTAAATGGGATATCTATACCCATATCTTTGTTAGGAATCTTAATAGAGGGTTGTATCTGTATTGTGGTATCACAAAGCAGCAGATCATCATGTTATTATCGTTTTTTTTTTATCAGAAACGATCATGTCATTATCATCATCCAAGCCTTATCCCAACTATATGGGATGAGCTACATGAATCCTGTTTCACCAGTCCATTCCATTTAATGCCACATCCGTTCTTAAATTATTGGTAAACCATTTTTTACTACTTCTACTCATGTCCTTTTTGGTCTACCCCTTGCTCTTCTAGCCCCTTCAACTTGTAACAAATCGCTTCTTCTTATGGGTTCTGTTGGTGGTCTTCTATATGCACACGACCAAGCCATCTTAGTCTGCTTTCTCTCATTTATCACCTAATGACCTGTATCATAAAGTAGGAGATGCACTCAGAAGGGCAAGGGGTAGACCAAAAAGGACATGGGTAGAATTAGTAAGAAATGATTTACCTTGCCTTCCAGAGTGGAAGTAGTGGATGGATACTTATGGAAGTAGTGGATGTACTGACAAAATTATCACCTTTCCTTCCAGAGTGAATATCTCATTTAGATGGATTACTAGGTTGGCTAACTGCCTAGCCAATATTGTTGCCAGGGGAGGTTTGGGGGAACCTGATTTATATTGCAATCCACTATGCTGAGTTCCAACAAAAACCAAACCTCTAATCACAATAGGTTGGGCTAAAAAGAGAAGTTCTGGACCATGGAGGGTTGCCCATTTCTTCCATGAAATACTTGACATTTTGGCTACCTTTTGTTGTTGTTTCAGATGGATTCCTAGGAGTCTTAATTTTTTGGCTGATGCTTTAGCTAAAAGTGGGGTGGAAGGAATATGTTGTACAAATACTTTTCTTCGGGAGGGGACCTTTTGGTTTTTTGTTTTGGAAGCCCTGTCTGTACATCGTCTCATGTATATCTCTCCCTTTTCCTTTTGAATGAAAGTTGCCTTTTCTCAAAAAAGAACAAGAAACAAAAATACAAAAACCAAGCCTCAATTGAATTTTGAGTCTCAAATGGCTTGTAATATGGATCCTTGCAATCAATCTTGCAAGAATATGCTACAGTTGTTAGTTTTTGGTTTGGAAGAAAGAAACTTAAAAATCATGTATGAGATATCCCATTTTAGTTTGGACAACTTTTCTTTTAAAGTCCCAATTTCTTTGATCTTTAAGTCTTACTACAAATTTGGAAAAAAATTTATATGTTCTATTCTAAAATGGTTCTGATGTTTCTATGTCAGCCATATTTGACAATCCATCTCCAGTACTTAGGGATTTTTGGGTTCTCTGTTAACTTTCATTGGCTTCTTTATGCATATATGCACATGCATTAGCATCAGCAATATTTTAGCTATGATTGTCATACATATTTTTATTTCCGATTCCTATGATTCAGTGTTGTCAATGTGGTGAGGTGATGACTAGTTGGTTTGGCCTCCCTAGGTGATGCAGTGACTAGTCTGTGCCTAAGTTCCAAGTAGTTGACCACAAAAGGATATGTTCTAAATTTAAGGTATTAATGCAATCTTATATTTAATGCAAAAGTAATAAGGGAAGCTGCATAGGCTGAGATTGGAAGTGGTAGTCTTTGTTTTTGAAATAAAAAGTGCAACCTTGACTATCTGATGCAGTCTCTTTGTCATACCAGTGCACTACTAATTGTAAGAAGACCTAAATGAACTCCTTCTACACTGTTCCTTTATTTTATGCCTCCTTTCTATTTTATATTGTCATTGCACAACCATGTGCCATCATGAACACTTATAGCAATTAGCATGCATATAAGTATATAACAAAATAAAAATAAAGAATATATATGATTCTATTTTAAATGGTTATACATGGACATGAATGAGTAAAAGCTGAGATAAATTTGAAGGTGCCAACCAGCGGGGGTTGGTAAGGTCTCCTGCTGGTCTTAGCGGAGACTTGGGATCAAATCCTGCCTGCACCTGTGTTGTGGGATGGGATACCCCCCCTCCTGCTATGACCCCTTCAGAAGATATCAAAAATAAATAAACAAATAAATTTGAAGTTGACCAGGTTGACTATATCAATTAGTCATTAGTCAACCTAGTCAATACATAGTCATCCTAGGCAGTTACTTCATGGATATCAAGTGACTAGTTAATGATGCAGCTAGTAAGGCCCTCAACTGACAAGCCAATAAACTTGACACTTTAATAGCATAGTTGTGCATAGTTGTCAAGGCGACGCCTAGGTGGGTGCCTAGGGGACAAGGTGCCCTTTGAGGCTTGCGTCGCCTAATCACCAAGCAGTTTTTTACTTCCTACTATAAAATACTTTTTTGTTCATTCTTTTTTGAGACTATAATTATAAAATAGACATTATTAAACTAAAATGATCATTTTGTGTGTTTATATACTAATTTCTTTTCATTATTTTCTTACTTATTAGGGTTTAATCAACACAAACATTGCTAAATGCTGTATTGAACCGTCAAAGACTTCAAAACCTGAACCAATAAGTAAGGAAGAACTTAAAATTTTATCTATTCAGCACATTTTCTTCTTCCATATATTCTTCTACTACTACTACCAATACTTTTTCTTCTTTTCCTATAACAAAAATAAGGGTTCAGCCCCTATATTTTTTGAATTCTATTTTCCTTCTTCTTTTTCTTCTCATGAATATGTTAATATGAACTTTATACTTTTCTTATGAAAATTATGAATAATTATTAAGGAAATATGGTTATAGTACCTAGCCTTGGCTTGGCGCCTTGAAAACTATGTTTGATAGTAATGGTGTTTTTTAGTTCTTCTATTTTGTCCTTTTATTCTCTACTGTTTATTTTGTAAACTGGTCTTGGCCTTACTCTTTACATGTGCCATATAGGGTATGAGTTAAATACTAAATTCCCAACTGGGAAATCTCAATGGCCAAAGCCTGACTCAATTAGATAGTTGCAGCCATCTTTATAGAAGAATTTTACTTTTCATTTTCCAGATTTATTTCATATTCCTCCAACTGATGTGACACAATAGATTGGTTGGCATCATCATTAGTCTGTTGGCTGGGCCTATATCTCCTAGGTGCGACTCATACCATGAGCAGGCCTATACCTTCATGTGTCTTGCATTCTATTTTTCCCATTCTTATATCTTCTCTTCACATAATAGTTTAATTATTAGATACTTTCCTATCAAAGCATTACCATTTGGTATTTATCAAAAATGACATTAATTACTGTTTTCTTTTTGCTACTTCAGATTTGGTCCAAGAGAAAGTAAGAAAGCAATGATGTACAGTGATATAGGCCGGCTGAATTGCAATGTCAGCTATACAACTTTTGCTACTCCAGTTCGTGGACAGGTGGGCTGAATTTCATATTTATAATTTTGTGACAACTCTTTTATGATTTAGTTCTATATTGATTGTTAAAATTTCTATGTCCAGGGATCAGATCACAAAGAGTTTTCCTCAATGCTTCATAAAGCCTTGGAAGGGGCTATAATCCTTGAGAGTTTCCCAAAGACAACTGTAGATGTTTTTGCATTGGTTTTGGAATCTGGTGGAAGTAAGTTTATAAAATTCATTCCCACATTAATAACTTGTCATTTACTGATAACAAAATTAATAACTTCTCATTTTTTCATTTGAGGTTTGGCAACTGAAGTTGGAACACTTAGGTGGCGTTTGATAAATCTGAAATCTGAAAAGTTAAAAAGGATATTAAAATTTAAAAGGTTCTGAAATCTGAAAAGAGATAGTTGTTTTTTGACTTTTTAGAGGCTCTGAATAAAGAAGGTTGTTTGTATTAAATCAAACCTTCGGCATCTGAAATTCACTAATTTACTATTTTACCCCTAAATTAGACTATTCGGTTGCAGCAACAAGAGAAGAAGAAAAGGGGGGGGGGAGAGAGAGAGGGGCCGGAACTCGCCGCTGCTAGTTCGCCGGAGGAGTTGCAGTGGCAAGAGAAGAAGAAGAAGAAGAAAGGAGAGAGAGAGAGAGAGGCAAGAGTTCAAGGGTATTTTGGACTTTTGGCCAGGTTTGAAACACATCTGAACACGTTCAACGCCTGGCCCATGTCTTATTATTTCAGATCTGAAAATGATTTTCAGACCCAAATTCAGATACACTTCCAAACATGGTTTTCAAAACCGAATCGGACTGGACGGCCGGACCGGAAAAACCGGGAACCAGTCAGGTGACCGGTTCTGTTTTTCCCCAAAACCGAATTTTTGCAAAAAACCGTTGATTTGGTCAGCAAACTGCTGACCCGGGCGGTTGAACCGTTCAATGGTTTTGACCGTTTTTTATTGTTTTGTCAGAATGGGCCGACTGCTCGGTTCGAACGGCCGGACCGCTCGACCCAGGAACCGGACCCCTGACCGGTTCGGTCTCCGGGTCGGTTTTAAAAACCTTGCTTCCAAACACCTCTGACATTTGAAAAGCAACATTTTCAGACTTCAGAGGTCTGAAAAGTGTTATCAAATGTCACCTTAGTTTGCCTAACTGAAACTGAGTTTGCAGATGTTCCTGACAAATTGTTCTTTTCCCCTTATTAAATGCCGGAAGAAGCCAAAAGTTCAATACTTTTGTTACCGGTTACCCTCTTGGGAGGGCTTTCCAGCAGTTGCTTTTTGACTTTCATGAGTTTCAAAGCATGGGAAGCTGAACAGATACACTTGTTAATAGATGTATGCTATACTTGATCATTGATTGCTTCACGATTTACACACAACAAATCGATGCCTTAACTACAATTATCTAATATATTAAAGTTTATATGGTTTACTGCCATCTCTGCCAAGATCATTAATTGTGTTTTATTCTAATTTTGTAGGTGATCTTCCAGTTGTGATATCATGTGCAAGTCTTGCCCTAGCTGATGCAGGGATAATGATGTATGACTTGGTTACTTCTGTTTCTGTGGTATGTGCACAAATACAATTTCCCCATTTGTGCATCTTTTCTTTTAATATCTAGGTAATCCTGGGGTCATAACTGTGAAACCAAAACCTAGATATATGCCTAGAGTTGCCAAATGACAACTGGGGAAAAATTTGCTTCTTGGGGGCTGCTGCTTTTATATCATGCCTTCTTTGCATACATGTTCAATGTCCTCTTAAGTTGGATATGGCATTGAAAGGAGCAGAATGGCAGAACGGTATTGATGTAGCCAATGCTATATAGTTGTGAGAAGACTATTGAGTCGAGTTGAGATGAGTTCAGTTCCTTAATCATATGTTGTATAGTATGCCATCTTTTATTTGTGGTCTATGATGCATAAAATCATATAGTATATGTAGAAGCATATTGTATGTTACTTATTTGCTTGGATTCTTGCTGTAATACTTCCTTGTATCAAGTGTATTGTAATACATGTTTTCTTAGATTCACTATGCTATTGACTTGTTGTTTTGCTTATGTGTTTGGATCATTGTTATATATGATTTCCTGAATTTAGGCATGCTTTGCTACTTAAAATGGAATTGATTCTATTGTATATGGAATATTGGAATCTGTAATTGAAAGTGACATTGCTTTAAGAGTTTAGTGATTGAATTGATTAAATTGATTAAATACAAAATGTTAGATCAACATTGACTTTTTGTTCTTGTATCCCATTTTATTGCAGATGTACATACTGTGGTAATTTTTTTGATTTAATACAAAATGCAAAATATAGATAAATGTTCTTTATCATTTCTAATGTTCCCTTTATTCTTTGGTGCTTTTTATCAATAGTGCTGGTGGAAATAGGTTTAAACAAGCAAAAAAGAACAGAATGATATAGCTGAAGATGCACCGGCATTATGGTCGATGCCCAAACCAACTCAGATTGGTCCTCCTTCACCCCCCTCCCCAAACCAAACAAAAAAGAGCTGGAAGAGTCAACAATGTCATTAGCTGACTTCAGTGTTTGTTCACCTGAACAAGTTATTTAAAAGAAAAATCAAGTTCTTGTGAAGCCCACAGAGCTTTGTGAAATAGGAAATCAAATACTCCAACTGTGCTGCTTTTGATGAATAATACTGATAAAAAGTTCTATGAAAAGGCCGCCTTCTGTTTATTCTTTTTTGGAAAAATTCAATGTTACTGATAAAGAAATTCAGAATTTTAGTATTTTAGTTCCAAAAGATTAAGGCATATTTGCTGTTCATAATGATTGCAAAAATATTTCCACCCTCTTTAGGCAGTTAGATATTGTTGTCAATCATGATCTAACATTGAAATACAATCTTGAAGCAGCTAGATATTTTTCCTGATGGATGGTCACCAAAGTTAAATTTTGGTGCTTGATCTTGCTCAATGTAAATGGAATAAATCCACTTGGCCATGCCCATGCCTGGCCTAAATGAGGAGCTTCTACCAGTGTTTATGCTACTTTCCTCATCAGAATGGTCTGGCCATCATTAGATCAACATTGATGGTCATGAATTATTTTCCAGCACGGCCCATGTTAGATTGGCCGTGATGGTGAGCCACCAGGAAAACTTATCCACCCAAGATGTGGGTTACCTGCCTAGAATACAACAATGCCATTCATCAAAAAGAAACAAAAAGTGAAAATGGTTAGTATCACATTTTATTGATGGCAAATAATGACTAATGAGCAATCTAGTAAAATCTCGGGCTGGCCAGCGTGAGAATGCAGGTTTGAGTCTGAGAACAGCCACTTTGTACCCAAAACACATACACAAAGGTTAGGACCATATCCAGTCTACCCCTCCCAAGACCCCAGATAGCTGGGACCAACATTGGGTAATGACCTTTTTTTGAAGTAATGAACAAACTGAAGGCATTTCTAAACCCAGATGCAAAACCACATAATTTTTTTTATCAATAATAAAAAACCACATATACAAGTGCATACTGCACAAATGTACGTGCATACCATGAATATGTTTGAAGTATGTCAAGTTTTTGCTTGCATGTAACTGAAAATAGCATTTTTCAAGATTTGGCAATTTTAAGATCAAAGTGAGCTTTATCTATTTGGATGATATGATTCCACTTCTACATTTTTATTATCAGATTATAACATATTCTAACAATTGTTTCAAACTGCTATTGCTCCCAATATGTCTTAATTGTGTTGTATTTATTTTTTCTGCCTTAGTCTTGTCTCGGGGCAAATCTTGTCATAGATCCTATATCAGAGGAGGAGAGCTACCAGGATGGAAGCCTTTTGATAACATGTATGCCTTCCCGTAATGAGGTCACTCAGTTGACCCTCACTGGAGAATGGTCCACACCGAAGATTCATGAGGTATACATGGCATCATTACTTTTTAGAGTTTGTCACCTGAAAAAAAAGGTAGACTGGACTTTCCATTTTTTTATCAGGAAAGTGAGTTCATTTATTAATGATCGAAAAAGTTACAAGATTTTAGCTATACAGTAGCCCAAAAACAAAAGATCGGGCTTTCCATTTTGGGGATAGCTGATTGGTATCATTGACCCCATCTCCATTTGTTCTCACCTAGAAGATCTTTTACATCAAAAAGCTAGATTTGATCATTACCAAAAAAAGCTAGATTTGTTTGATATCATCAAAATTGTACATCACATATCTGTTCCTAACTCAGTTCAATGCAAGGTCCTTGTGTAGGAGATATCCTAGTGGGACATGTCAACCCATGCATATCACCTATATGCTCCATATCATTCATATGCTCTATTGTCACGGGGATAATCGTTGGGGCCCCGTGTGGCACTCGAAAGGGGCGAGTAAGCCTACGCAACAAAGCAAACACACACAAAAAGGCAACAAGATGGAACACGAATTAGCAAAAGGCTATTTGTATTGCAATAATCAGTGGCAAGCACAAGCACACAGTATAGTGTCGAGGGGAAATCATACTACAGTATGATTGGCAATAATCAGTGGCAAGCACAAGCACACAACCTCCCCTCAAAGAGTACGTTAAGCTTTTGGGGGAGTGACAATAAGAAACATCAAAAAGGTGGGAAATCATACTACAGTATTACAATAATGCCATTGGCAATCCCCCCATACAAAAGTACATGCATAGCCCACCCATGATACACTTGGACATTGGAGTGGCGGCTGCAGGCATGTTGGTTGGCACTTGATGGCGCGGCGAAGAGAACACTTGTTACAGTCTCCCCCACTCAATTCAGTCTTCGTCCTCGAAGACTAGCTTTTGCTTGAGGCTTGAACTTGTTGGTGAAGGAAGGTTTTTCGACTGCTGCACGAACAGGGTTTCTTCCAAGGCCTAGATAGGAGGTTGGGTAGATGGCTAGTGGATGTTCTGGATGGTGGGAAAACCTATGGCTAGTCCCTAAGTTAAGTCCCTGCCTGGTTGCTTCGAGGTAGGATTTTGGATGGTTCCCGATGGTGGTAGGAAAATTGGTGGCCAAGGCTGGGTCAAAACGGTATTTTGGATTATTAGGGTGTTGGTTCCCATAAATTTGTCTCCAAGGGTGACTCACAGGGCTATTACGAGATTTAGCTTGAGGGATGATGTGAATGTGGTCCCTAAATGGTTTGGGTGGCACTTGCTCTCCCCAGTGGTTGTGGTAGTAGATGTGGGCAAAGTTTGACACGGCCTTGGGTCTTCTATTGGGCCCACCAGTTGTGGGTGTGTGCGGCTTCTACTACAAAGGTGGCTTCCGCTGCTGTTGTTGTGGTGGCATTGGCACTGACGCTGGCGTTGGCACTGACTTCTTCCTGGAGTTGCTATGATCAATTCTGGTTGCACTGGTAGTGGTTGTAGATCTCTCTGCCATCAATGGTTGAGGGTGGTGTTGGAGTTGCAAGGCAGAGACTTGCTTCTTCTTGGTGCTGGCGGTGGCGATTATGTTGACCATGCAAGGTGACTGCTCGTCCAAGATCATCAGGGTGTCGAGGTGAGGCGCCGGTGCCGCTTTTGCCTGTATCATGAAGTCCATTCCAAGGACAATATCAAAATCATCTATGTGGACGACGGAGATGTCAATCTCTCCATCCCAGGTGCCGAGTTGTAGNGCCGGTGCCGCTTTTGCCTGTATCATGAAGTCCATTCCAAGGACAATATCAAAATCATCTATGTGGACGACGGAGAGGTCAATCTCTCCATCCCAAGTGCCGAGTTGTAGTCTTACTCGGCGAGCCATGCCTTTAGTAGGTTTGGCACCTGTGTTAACTGCTTTGAGCCAACCAGGCTCTTTGGAAACGGCCAAGTTAAGTCTCTTGGCCTCTACAATGGATATGAAGTTGTGAGTGGCCCCTGTGTCAACTAGGGCCCTAGTTGGCCTCCCGCCAATGGTTACATCAACATACCTCAGTCCTCTCTTGACTGAGGAGGGCTGTTTGGAAGTAGCCCCTTTCTTCATCATGTTATTGAAAAGTTGGAGGGCGCCCACTCTTGGCGCTTGGGTACTCCGTTCCCCATCACTCTGCTCATCATCACTTAGCTTGGCAATGAGGGCATTCAGCTTTGCTCGCTTTGGGCAATTCCTGGTGAAGTGA